GAGAATCTGCATCTTTCACAGGTTCCTAGGGGATGCTGAGGCTACAGGTACAGAGAACCGCTGAGCTATGTAAAGGGTTAGCCTGGCCCATAATAAGCACACAATAAATTTAGGCATTACTAAGAAAAATATTCACTAAAGGTTTGCTTCATGGAAAGGTTCCCAAATTCTGTTCTGTTTGAAAAACCTCCCCCACTCTTGCCTGAGTTGAGGAATAAGAAATCTGGTCTTCCAGCTCACTTGTCTTAGAAGTTGAGACACGTGGCCTAACACCTGTTTCTAAACATAGCTACTTGTATTACTTCTGGCAGATCTCGCGTATTTTTTTCATTGCCAATAAAGTTATTCAAATTGAAATATACCATCTGTTTGGGAGTTTGTATCAAAAAGACAGGTGACATAGTTGCAGGTAATGACGATGTCAAGCTGTTTCCACAGCAAACGTTCCCATCTGCCAAGACTGACTTCATGTCTTAGATTTGGCATTTGGGAACCAGGATGTTCTCTCTGGGGTAGGAATTAAAAACCCAATATCACAAACAACAATCCCTTACCTGAAGCTATATGTACAATGACTACGGAGAAAGAAGCCACCAAATTTCCCACCTTTTGGCTGGATCAGAACAAATCAGCAGCAACAGCAAATTCTATTGAACATATACATGCAAATACGTGTGTTTCTAAATCTGTGAATTGTAGATGTACTTGTGTGCAGGGAGTACCTGAGCTTTTTTAATGTTTATGTAAAATCGTTCCAGAAAAACCACTGACTCCTTGGTGGGGCAGTGAGCAGTATTCTGAATGTTTTCGGTCCTCTCACCAGAGGGCTGAGGCCCCACCCCTGAACACACATGGGGCGGGGCCTCAACAACGTGGTCAAGGCTGGGGGTGCCTGGAGTGCACAGGACTCCTGCAGAGCTTTCATCTGGGTGCTCTGGGAGGCTCAGGGACACAGGCCTGTGGGAAGAGGGAGGGCCAGTGACTGCTTTGCTTGAATGGCATGCAAAGGGCTGCGGAGGTCCTCAGTCTGGGGTTTGGAGCAGTGAAGGAATTTGCTGGGGGATGGTACACCCTTCTGTCCTGTAGGAACAGCTCCTGGGCGGGTTCCTGTCTGTCCATCAGGGCACCCCCTCCACCTCACAGCCTGGCTTCCTCTCTCCAAGAAAATCTCACTGTATGAGAAACCACAGCGGGACAGGGGCTGTCTGGGGACAGGGAACTCCAGAGCCTGCTGCCCTCTTAAATGGAAGGAAGTGGTGAAAACGAATCTCAGAAGCTCAGCCAAATGGGCTTCAGTATTCTAGCTTTCCTGCATTTCTTTATGTTTTAAATGTACCATACTAAAATGCTTTTGAAAGTTAGCAAAGAAAGAGACACACAGGGACAGAGAGAGAGCTGGGGTGGGGAGGGAGGCAGGCGGGAAGCAGGGGCGCTGGCACCAGCGTGGTGCCACATCCAGTCATCGCGGGAGGCACAGGAGATCCTTTCCCGGCCCTCACAGACCATCAAGGATCCAGACTCAGGCTTTACAGTCCGTTCTTCACCTACTAGAAGGGAGAACATGTGTGATTTCATCGTAAAGACTTCTGGGCCTCCACTTGGGTGGTTGGGGCAGGGTGGGGGGTGTTTTTCTTTTCTTTCCTCCACGCTGTTAGGTGTCACAGACATGAAACCACCTCCCTGTCACCATGATCCCAGCCAAAGCCTGGCCCTCTTTGGGAGTCTCTGGACCAAACTCTGCTCTCCAGGCCCACCTCTGCTCTGTACTTGAGGACGTGAGCTGGTCAGGACCCTCGGAGCTTCCCTTCAGCCATCCCCTGCCTGTTTCCAACTGCTGCCCAGAGGCCAGCTGGCCGGACAGCAGAGGTGCTGGCAGTCGCCAAAGGGGCTTTAGAAAACATTGCAGTAAATTCAGTGTAGGATGGTAGTGTTCCCTTTTAGCTCATGCCAGAAGCCTCTTCTGTCCTCTGCCTGGACGCAGCTGGTTGAGAACATGGTCAGTGTGCTTGTCTTCGTCCACAGCACACAGCCAGGGTGCAGCTGGCCACCCTTTCCTTCGTTCACTATTATACTTCCTTTTGAGGTGCTTATTTATCTTCTAACACCTGCATGACCTCCCCATTGCAGGGTGTCATCATTTCCAATGGGACCTGTAGTAAATACCTTGAAATGGGTCCATTCCCAGGCTGCTTCTGTCTCTCGGCTTGTAATCCACAGCTCGGCTCCCAGCCCTCAGAGTGAAAATGCTAGAGAGGGTGAGCGCAGCTCCAGACCACAAGGGCCTCAGCAGAACATTTCTTGTTCACTTGCTGCCTTTTACTTTGATCTTTGAAGTGCTGAAGCTCCTGCTCATAAAAGTGCTGTTGATTTGGATATTAACAGCAGGACTGTGACCAAAACACCAAATTAAAGTATCTGAGACAAGTTGTTACCCAGAAGCCTGAACAATTTTAATCTGATTCAACCTCAAGACACACACATTTAAAAAAATTCCTTTCATGATTTGTTCCTTTGGTTAAGCATGAAATCATTCTCTGTAACTATTATTGCCGGGAAAACCAGTCAGAGTGCAGAGAAGGGTGCAGGGCCAGCATTCCCTACCGGCTGGGACTGACACAGACACAAACGGCTGCAGCCTTTACTCAGCTGTCCCTGACTCTGCTCCGAAAGGAGCTTGCTCCACGAGGCCTTCATGCATGCATCCCATGGTCCTTGCTCTTTCATCCAAGAGACAGAAATCCATGAACTTGAACCAATGCAGAATGTGAAGTTAATTTACTTATTAATACTTATTATTACTTATTAAGTTAATCACTTATTAATGCCCCTGTTTTCATTAGGCATTTTACAACTCTAGGGGCTGATAAGTGTCACCTCTGTTTCACAGATTGGGTCACTACCTCTGGGGCACAGAGGTATTTTTCCCACTAACACAAGCATTTGTGGTTTGCATGAGAGAGATTTCACACTTACAAAGTGCCATACCAGATTTGGGATTGTACAACTCAGCCTGCAGAGTTTGGGTAGCTGTGCCCACCAGTGAGAGAAGAACCAAAGACTGCAACACTGAGGATCGGCTGTATCTAAACTGAGGTAATAGCACCAAGATATGGCCGCCTACAGAGCCTGGAGGCTAGCGGGCCTGGTCAGAGCCCTCCTGGATTTTTATATCGCCCTCATCCCTTCAATTTGACATCCAGGTTTTCCCTGCTATTCAAAAGTAGAGCATTCCTATGACACCTTTTGTAAGCCGAAATGGCATAAAGCAAAGAAGAAATTAACATTAATTTATATGGGAAAAGCTTTGAGCCTTCCCAGACCCAAAAAATAACCTTAGACTTTTCTGAAACCTTAGGACATATCCTGGTAACAAAAATCAACTGAGATAAAGCACATATGCGCACAGACGCAGTTCAGAGCTCTGGTGGCTGGGTGCTCAGGTGCTGAGTGGGGTTCCCAGGGAAGGAGCTCTATGGGGCCATGCTCACTTCCTGAGTGCGTGCTGTCTCTTGGAATGCTGAATGCAATTTTTGCTTTTTGCCATTTTTCATAAACATGAAAATCCTGTTTGGATTTTTCTAGGTTAACCAAAACACGGGCCAGTGTAGGTCTTTTTCACAAAAACGAAGTGGCATAGCATGAACTTTCAAAAGTCAATGGCTACTGTATCTCTAATATTGCCCATAAGGAGCTTAGAAAAAGAGAAACCTCTTGCAAGCCCAGGAAGAAGTCAGAATTAGTAAATTGGAAAGCAGGATGAGGGCCACCCAGGAAGAAAATCATGAGCTAAAGTTCATTCGGAGGTACCTCTGGAAGCCTTTTGCAGTTCACATTCCCGTCTAGTTTGCGAACTACCTTCACTGGTAGAACGTCCAGGAATGAAGAAACTATCTGTTTCCTTTTAATGCTTTGATCCTGGTTCCATCATCTGTAGGTGGTTCTTCCAGCCTTGCCTGCAGCATCCAGGCTGATTCCCCCACTGATTCCTAGCCACAGCCAGTGGAGATTTTCAGGGGACAAGGTGGGACCAGAAGCTGCCACTGACCCTCCCTCCCTCCTGTTTGATGGCTGCTCTGCTGACTGTGACTCCTCAGCTACATCATTCTTTTTATTAACATTAATATACATTTATTTCTCAAAGGAAAAACAAATTGCTCCTGTAAAAAGAAAATCTAGTCCAATTGTTGGTTCATCAGATTCTTACATCTTCATATTTTGCTATACTTGTAGATGAATTTTAAATGAAGTACATAACAATATATTATTAATTCAAAGATTGGGGTAAGAAATTAGATAAAAATGAAAGGCTGGAAATTTAGTTAAAAACAAAGAAAGGAGTAAATACTGATGGGCATGTAGAAATGCAGATTTGATTGAAAACTATCAGGAATTGAAGTAGGTTGCCCTGTGTTCCTGCTCCTTTATACACACACATATGTAACTATGCTCTCCTCCTAATGTGTGCTTGCTTGCAGTAATTATCTGCCAGATTCTGTCTTAAAACTGCATGTGAATCTACAGTTATCTCAAAATATAGTTGACCAAATATTCCAGTAGCAGCATCAACTACTGTTTATTCATCAACTTGAGCTCAACATCGGGTGTCTTCTGTATGCCAGGCACTGTTCCAGGTGCACAAGGGGGTGGATGCCACTGAGAACAGCAGAGACAAAAATTCCTGCCCTGCTGGAGATGACTTACCCAAAGCTTCATTCAGTCAGGTTGCTTATCATTCAAGTTACTAAATACAGGCTTTTTATGTTAATATTGATTACAAAGTATTCACTTCCTCATCTCCCACAAAGTTGGTCTGATTAGGTCTTCCCAGACTACTTGACACAGCTCATAATATTTGTGAATAGCAAGCCTTGCCCCGAATAATGAATGGCTCATTCTTTCTTTCCACTCCAGTGTTTAGAATACTTGCAAAATGTACACTGCTCTATTCAACATATGCTTGGAAAGTCTAACTCCCTTTCCCTTGCTGCTCTTTGCTCCAGGCTACAGAGGGCATCCAAGTAGGACACTCTGGACACAGCTGGTGGTCACAGAGAGGAAGCCGTGACCGATTAACTGAAAATCCCAGCTAGTGATTCCAAAGAAAGAGAAAGACATTTCTCCCAACCATTCCAGTGCCCTAGAGGTCCTGGACATCCTGGAAGAAGATGCAGCCCACAGACAGAAAATGACAGCCACCAAAGTGCTGAGGGGGCCCGTTCAGTCCTTTCTATCCCTGCTCCAAATTCCACTCCAAGATGACCTGTAACCGCACAGCCATCGAGTCCTATGAATACTGGCTGCTGAACGGGAGCAACAGGTGGGACTCTGGGGCAGCCCCACCCCCTACGCCCCTCAGGATACCCTTGGCAATAATCATGATGCTGATGATCGTGGTGGGACTCCTCGGCAACGCTGTCGTCTGCATCATCGTGTACCAGAGGCCAGCCATGCGCTCCGCCATCAACCTGCTGCTGGCTACTCTGGCCTTCTCCGACATCATGCTGTCCTTGTGCTGCATGCCCTTTACCACTGTCACCTTGATCACTGCCCACTGGCACTTTGGTGACTCCTTCTGCCGGCTCTCAGCCATGCTGTACTGGTTCTTTGTCCTGGAGGGCGTGACCATCCTGCTTATCATCAGTGTGGACCGCTTTCTCATCATTGTGCAGCGCCAGGACAAGCTGAACCCGCAGAGGGCCAAGGTGATCATCGCTGGCTCCTGGGCACTGTCCTTCTGCATGTCAGCTCCCTCACTGGCAGGCTGGACACTCTTGGAGGTACCGGCCCGGGCCCCGCAGTGCGTGCTGGGCTACACGGAGCTGCCAGCCAGCCGTGCTTACGCGGTGACGCTAGTGGCTACAGTGTTCTTTGTACCCTTCAGCATCATGCTGTGCTCCTTCCTGTGTGTCCTGCACACGGTCCGGAAGAACACCGTCCGTGTGCACAACCAGTCCAACAGCCTGGACCTGAGACAGCTCGCCACAGCTGGCCTGAGGCGGCCCCAACGGCAACAGCAGGTCAGCTTGGACCTGAGCTTCAAAACCAAGGCCTTCACCACCATCCTGATCCTCTTTGTGGGCTTCTCGCTCTGCTGGCTGCCGCACTCGGTCTACAGCCTCCTGGCCGTATTCAGCCAGAGCTTCTACTGCAGCCCCTCCTTCTACACCACCAGCTCCTGCATCCTGTGGCTCAGCTACCTCAAGTCCGTCTTCAACCCCATCGTCTACTGCTGGAGAATCAAAAAATTCCGTGAGGCCTGCATCGAGCTGCTACCCCAGACCTTCCAAATCCTCCCCAAAGTGCCTGAGCGGATCCGAAGGCGAATCCGGCCGAGCACCGTCTATGTGTGCAACGAAAACCAGTCTGCAGTTTAGTGGGGGGGCTGAGGAGCGAGGAGACCAGCTCCTGCCTGGCCCAGGACAGAGCCTGGCTGTCCTTATGCTCTGCTTCCTGGCCCTAGAGTTGTGGTCAGCGTTTTGTGGTGGTCATTTAAGCACAAAGCTACTCATTTGTTAGCAGAGAAGCAGGGGCACCTAAGTGTGCAAGATAACTTCCTTTGTTTCTCGGTGCAGAAGGACAGTGTGGGGGACCTATGGACACTGGAAGTTAAAGCAAAATGAGACGTGCAGATGTTTCCCAGAAAGGGAAGCTTGGGGCAGGGAGTGGAGCCGGCTGGTGAGAGGCAGGTGGAAGGTCTGTGTACGGGGCTGTGTTCTGAAGTGAGGGCCCAGCAGGTACCTCTTGGGTGTGCATTTGTCTTGTCTGATGCCAGCATTCTTCAGAGGTGTTTATGTTTGTGGCATATGGGGAAACACATAAGGTTCTCCATGCTGGTCAGAGGTGCCAAATCATCCCTCCTGTAAAACAAAATCACACCAGGAGCAGAGTGAACACCTGTACTTTTCTGTCCCCCCAGGTGACACAGAGGCTTCAGAGGCTCAAAGCCCAGAGAATGTTCGACGCAGCTCAGCTGAACTGAGGAGCCCACCCACCGCCACCCGGCTGGCCCACCAGCCCTGCACCCTGCCCCTCCCAGTATGGGTTACATCCCTCTGCCCCTTCTCCTTCCCTCAACCCCCCCTTTGTTTTAATCACAGCCATTCCAGTACACAGGAAAAACATACTCCTCCTCCCGTTCTCCATCTTTTCAGCCAGTGTCTGAAATGGCTTCCTTTCAGTTTGGACGTCGTCAGTGGGCTTTGTTTACGTGTTTCCCCTTGACACCCCGTGCCTGCCATGTCTGTAATGGCCACCTGGGCCTGGGCACTGCAGCTGCGGCAGAGGTAGATCACACGGCACCCACTGAGCAGCCCGGTGGCCTGTGTCCCTCCTACCTCACCCAGGTGTGCGGGCCCCCGGCCGCTGCTGTCGGGCTGCCGCCTGTGACCTCGGTCCTCCCGGCCCAGGCAGGACTGGGGTCCCAGGACTGAGGCTGCCTAAGGAGCACCTCTGCCCTTGGCCGCTACCCCCAGGGCCGCCCATTTCCATCAGAAGCTTCAGACTTTGAAGGATGACTGTCCTGAGTTAAGGGCATACCATTGGGTCCATTGAGCTCTCATTCAGATCAGAAGAGAACGGAAACTTTAGGAAGAAATTCATAAAATTTGATTTCAAGTCTAACTGTATCTTGAACTAGTCATGGTGAAACTATGTAAAACTTGTTCGTTTCACCTCCCTTCTCTGGGCCTCAGTTTCCCCATCTGCCAAGTAAGGAAGCAGGTCTACCTGATCTTCAATGTCCCTGTCATGTCTCAGACACACCAGTTCCAAATGTGTATGTTTTCTGTGCACAGTCACTGGATCCCCTGCATCGACTTATTTATCCATGCAACGAGCATGTATTAAGTGCCTACTAGATAGAAGGCACTGTGGGAGAGAGTGATGAATGAGGCCTGCGCTGTGTCCAGAAGCAGTTGTCCCCTTCAGCTCAGGGTAATCATGACTCAAATGACTAAGAGCACAGAAGTCCGTGGTTTGTTTCTCTTCTTGTTTCTTTTTCTGGGTTGTATTACAAGGCCAGCTCCCCATTCTCATGTTCTCCTGTGGTATTGGTGACAAAGGCAGGAAAGAAAGAGAACATATTTATATTAATCTAAGCCCAGAGGAGAGTTTGTCAAGAAAATAATTGACACCTTTTCTCACCAACTGTCCCCTTCTTTCATATCCAGACACAAGAAAGAGAGAGAGTTGCAGGCAGGCAATTGGCAGGTGGTTGACTGAGGTGGGGCCTGGCCCTGCCAGGACAGGGTTTGCCTTCAGTTCCCATGAGGCAGAGTTGCACGGCCTCCATGGTGTAGGGTACAGCCAGGCCGCTGAGGGGACCATGCCACTGGGCGTCTCCCCTCTGGTGCATGTTCAGGGGAATGCACTTCAGGAGGCTCAGGCGAGAGAGAGAAACCACAAACTGAATGAATGAAGGTACCAAAACGTATATCCGTCACTGTTCGATGATGCGTGTTGGACAGTAATATATATGTTTCAAAGTAATAATTTTGTATATATTTTAAATAAAGTATTATTGCTCTTTCAGTGTATAAGACTATGTTCTTGCCAAAGTTAGCACCAAGGCCATGATGAGTAAGCCAGGAACTTCTGTGTAATACCTCCAATGCCAAAACTGCTTCAGGAAATCTGGAAGTTTTATGAATTTCACCAAGCTGCTGTCACCAAGCAGGTGTCAGTGAGATGGCAACCAGGAGACTGTTGGAACAATAGGGTCACAATTGGGGTGCCCGCACTTCTTAAAATCACGGCCCCACTGTGGCTCCAGCCAGTTCAGCTTCCCCTCTGACTTTAAGGATTCTCTCCAGCCTTGCTGAACGTTGAGGCAAGGAGCCTTTAGGAAGTCTGCTTTCCCAGGATACTCTGCAAATACCGAGGTCTTGTCTCCTCTGAGGCTTGCAGGGCAGCTGCTGCTGTTTGGTTCTGCTCTTCTCTTTAGCCCTGGGGGTCACCCAAGCCCTGCGCACCTGTACAGTTTCTGGGGGCAGCGGCTAGCCTAATAATTGTCCAGAGGGAGGTACCGGGCTCCTTGGGGGACACTCGCCTCAAAATGAGACACAAATATCTCAGAAGTGTCCTCCTAATTCTGAGCACCCCTGAAAACCCACTGCCTTTTCATCTTGAATCTCGGTCCCTGCTGTTGGGTGAGATAAAAGCTAAGGTTCTGTAGAACAGTCTGACAGCCAGGGTGAGGAACAAAATCTATTTCAATTTCTGCTTCGCTGTCCTGAGCCCTGGGTGTACTTTCCCCACCATGATGCTCACCACATCCTTTCTTTGGACGTAAAAGCACTGTGTTAAGAATTTCTAACGTGGCTCTTCTTGCCTTGGCCCCCTGAAGTCGGGCATGCCCAGCACTCAGGATTTCGCTCTTAGGGGAACATATGGGCAGTGGAATGGAAAGGGTGCATGCTCCAAAATGGGACTGTCTAAACCCCAAGGCGGCTTTGCTCTCTGCAGGGTCTGGACAAGTCATAGAACATTTCTTCATTCCGGCTGCCTCATGTCCTAAATGGTGGGAAGACTCCCAGCCAGAGGGCCTCCATGAGGAATAAATGATATAATGGAATAACGGATCTAGCCCGATGCCTGGCCCACGGTAGAGGCTGAGTAGACAGCAGCAGTAATGATGACAGTTAGAATGCCGACGTCCTTTATGTCCAAGCTTTGTCCTTCTGGGACAAAGGTAGACATTTGTTTCAGAAACTGGCTGTTCAGTCCACACCCTTGTCCTCAAGTGGTCCTGAGATTTCAGGATTCAGTTGTCAAGACCACACCATCCACTGAAGCTGGGAGCGTGGATTTGACTTTGAAGAACAAAATCCTTGAAGGCCAAAACTGCACTTTATTCCATTCCAAACCCTCACCCGGCCATAAACTGGCCTCACAGGGTTGCTGCGGGAATGGGATGGATGGGTGGGTGCTCCCTCCTCCGCCCTGTTCCCAGGCCTAGGAAAACAACCTGAAATACACACCCTCTGTTCTAAGGGTGGTTCCGAGTTCCAGGGAGCCTAGTAGCATAACTGGGAATGCAGGGAGGCAGGAGGGAGGAAGGGTGTGGATTAGGGTAAAAAGTAAAACTCCTATAATGACTCACGACACAAAGTGGCCTTTAAAAAAAATGATGGCGCTCCCTCTCCTAAGCTCCAGGGCAGCTTGGAGGGCTCTCTGCTCATGTGGCTGCTTGGGACTCGGGTTCCTCCTGTCTGGTTGCCCACTCACCCACAGGGCACTGTCATCTTTGTGGTCAATCTGGGTGGCAGCCAGGTCTGCACACCCCCACTGCCCAGGAGGGAGATGGGTCCCTAGGTGGCCTCCACATGCCCGGCTATGGCTTCCTCAGCATGGAAGGGGAGGAGGCAGATTTAGTGGACTCCCAGCACTTTGCCAAAATATCATGACTTTGAGAAACAACAGATCCTGGAACACCTACAAATTCTGAAGTCCTGGTACAGATTTCATAAATGAGCTCATTGTGAAATAAACACATCTCTCTCCACCACCCCGAGATGGTTGCCTCTCTCTCTGCCTCTGGCCCCAACACAAAGCGACCTACATCCAGGTATGGGAACCATGCACATTTATGCCTGTGCAAAGGAGATAAAGTTGCCACATTTTATCTTTTGGACAAAAAAGAAGGGAGACATAAAAGCAAAACTGAAAAATTGCAGCCACAAAAGGGTGAATTGTACCAAGAAAAGAAAAAATATAACAATTCAAAGCAACAGATCAACAGTGATTGAGACCAACTCTGATGAAGAATCTGAGTATTTTAAAGGCAGATGTGTAATTTCAAAGCCTGGCCTGTTGAAAGGTGGAGGGCAGTTGCTAGTGCCAAGGTGGACCACCACAGAGTGTGGGAGGGGGCTTGGCCAGGCGTGGAAGTTAACTATTTAAGGAAAGGGAGGGGCTTGGGGACTCAAGGTGGGGGCTGAGCATCTGGATTCTGTAAGAATAAAAGGACATTTGAATGCAAAAGCATGGGGTGGGGAGCGTGCCTGGGAGGGGCACTCGGGTGGGAGGTGCGACCAAGGTCAGTTTGGCAGACAGCGCCACTTTACCTCTCATCCTAGAGGAGCAGGGGACAGGGTGCTCTGGGAACAAGGGAGGGGCCAGGGATTGTCTGCCCTGGAGAGGGCCCAGGAGGTGCTGCAACAAGATTTCTCTTAGTAGTCTGATAGGAACAGAAAGAACTCGTCTGTGTGAGAAACCCTTGGATGTGCCCACACTGTACCTTCTGCAGTCATGAATCCGAAGGTGCCAATAAGCAAGCCCAGCTCTCTGAGGTGTCCAGGGAAACACTAAAGGTCCCCAAGGCCGGGGTGATAAGAACCCATTCCGTGCTCCTCTGCGCTCTCTCCTGCCACCTCCATCATCTGCTGTCCCTTTGCCAACCATTCCATTCAAGGAAAAAAACACTAGCTCATTTTGGGAAGCATTTTTCAGAAGACAGTTTGCTGCTCCTTATGGACTGTCATTTGGGGATAATATTCCTCGTTTTCTTCCTCATTGAAATGCTGCTGCCATAGTCCCACCTTACAGTGTGGCCGTGGTGTCAGGAAGCCTCTGAACATTTCATTAAACCATGAGAGAGGGTCACTAACCTCACCATAACAGGCAAACAAGACTGAACGATTTAAAAATGCACATGGAAATGGAGAGCTTAATTTGCTTCCAAAGCGTGAACAGAGGCAAGGCAGAGACATGATGGGAAGCAGGAGGTTCTTCCCCAGTCTTCCAGTTCTGTCTGGGACTTGCTGGGCCTCTCCAGAAGCAGACTGTCTAGGGGGAAAGTGCTTTCCCCTCATGGGGTGCCCTGGAGCTGTGGGGACTCATTGAGGTAAGACCTGCCCAGGTGGTCGGGGCACATCTGGGCTTCGCTTCACCAGGCCCAGATGTGTACCCCCAGATGCTTCCCCATTCTGCACTGTGATGACACTCCATGAAGGTCTTTGTCACACAGCGTCTGAATCCCTGCTACTTCCCTCCACGTGCGCCTCCTGCCTACAGGGCCCCCTCACTCCCTGGCCCCTGCTCTGATCTTTCCTTCTCTTCGCAAACAATGCAGTTGGCAGATATGGGTAAGGTCTGAACTAGAAGTGAGGTTTAACATATTGTATTAAAATTTAGACTTAGATTCTGTGACAAAGTTTGTTTTCCATCCTTATAGTGTTTCTAGTCTTAAGAAAAGTTTTAAAAATCAGATACCCTGATTTTTTTTATTAGAGAGATGATTTGCTGTTTGCAGAAATGAAAACAGAACAACTGGATTTTTTAAAACCTGCAGCATAAAGAAAATTTAAGATTTTCTAGTCTTTTTTATTACATATAAAAAATGCATTTTCTTTTGCAATATTCAGATCTTCCCATCCCACATCAGAACTTTGTAAGCTGTTTTTGTTAGGTTTTTTTTTTCCATGTTTTGAAGTGATTTCTGATGGCTGGAAGTCTTCCATTATATGCATGTGCCACAGACTAAGTTATTTAAGTACTCCCTGTTTTTTGAATTTTTTCCTATATTTCACTATTTTTTTAAATGCTGTAATGAACACCTTTGACATAAATTTCTTTGTCTAGTCACTGTTTCCTTGAACTTCTAAAAGTGGAACTGGTTGCTTTTTGTGCAATAATCTTTTCTTTTTTTTAATTTCAGAAAGTCTGTGCCAATTTGCTCTCCCACCAGCTGTGCTTGAGAACTACCAAAAACTCAGGGGGTGTCATGAAGCACTGCCCAATAACCACCAACAGGCCCTCTACCGATAGGCTGAGCCAAGGTGCTTTGGACCATGGCTGGGTAATGAACTGGGCCGTGAAGAGGGCAGCGAGAGGACACACAGCCATTTGGACTGAGAGGCATTATTCAATAGCCGGCAGGTTTGCAAAGGCTAAGGGCAAATGTGCATTCACTAATTATATGTGGAAAAGTATAAGAGAAATAACTAAGGGATTTCACACCTCTCCACAGACCAGTTTGAGCTAAAAGGATTATTTGTGGCAACGACAGGCCAGCTTGAGTCATCCAGCTTTAGGAAGCCCTTTGGAGACTAGCATCTAGCTGGCTGGTTGGCTGTGAGTGTGCCTAGGAAGGGTTCCCCAACCATTCCATATACCGTTTCTTACCCTAGGCCACTCTGAGGCGATCTTTCCTACCTTTCTGTTAGAAGTATATTAAATTTTTTATGTTCATCTCTCTGTCCTGAGAAGCAGAGCAGGATACAACTCTGGCTGCCCCAGTGGCCTAATCAAAAGGATGTAGTAACCATGTCTGTTATTCTCTGGCTTCTGATGCTTTGACATCAGGGGCCTTAACACACTGGAGGAACTGCCCTCCCAGGGCTAATTTCTAAAGACAGTAAACACTTGCCCACCAGCACATCTCCCAAATACAAATCAACCATCCAGAGCCCCGCCCCCACCGCCCCTATGGGGCTCTCACACTCCAGGCCCCCTCCCCCTTCCCTGCTCACCCCAGGGCTAGCACCAGACAAGCGGGGACAGCCCCTGCGCCCCAGAGCCCAC